GTGGGCCTCTCGGGGTTGCACCCCCTGCTCCTGGCTGTGTGGAGAAGCCTAGGGCAAGGAGGCTGTCATTTCCTCCTTTCCTGGGGAGGATGCCAGGCGGGGCTGGCCAGGCAGGTAGGCATTGCTCAGACCGTTCTATCTCCCTGCCCTGGCTAAGCCAGAGCCGGTTCCTTCCTGCCCCCCTGGGGGGCAGTTTACCTAGTCCGTTGCCAGGACTCCTGGCAGCCACAACGGGCTGCTCACCCCGGTCTCTGTTCCTATCTCTGGCTGCCTGTCCCACCCCACTGGACCCAGGCTGAACACTCCCATTGACGGCAGGCGTGTGAAGAAGTATTTCCTTCAATTCTCCCCGTCCTGACCTTCTGCTCTGGCCTGTCTTGCCCTGCCTCACTTCCCTCCTTTGGGTTCTTGATCTAGACAGGCCCAGTGATGGGTGGAAAAAGCAGCTGTCTGCAGAGGGTGATAGGGATTGGGAAGAGGCCTTATTCCTGCCTGAGCAAAGCTAATACTGGGGACCTCCTGACTCCCAGCTGCATGATCTTTCCACTCCATTCATCCTTCATACCCTGTCAGTCTTTTCTACCTCAGTAAGAATGAGTTTATCAGTTACTCTTCTGAGAGGAAGGGTGAGGAGAAAGCATGAGTTGTCCTAGGCAGCTGAGTGTCCAGGGCAGAGGGCCCTGCAGAGGGAGGTGGGTCATGGAGCGAGGAGGCAGAAGGCTCTGCAGCTGCCTGTGCAGGGGCCCTGCACCTTTTCTTGAGCCCCCGTCGGGAAGGTTGTGTGGTTAAGAGATGAGATTTCACAGCCAGACTTTCTAGCTTTGGAATCACAGCTGTGCCACTTACAGATAGTATGACCCTGCGCGGACATCTCTGGGCCTGGGTTTGGTGTGGAAAATGGGAGAAGTAACAGAATCTATTTATTGGGGTTGTTGGGATGGAGCAGGACAATGACTAACAGTGTGCAGTGTTGCCCTGGGATGCAGCAAGGCGGTATCTGCGGTGGGGCGCACTCCCTCCCCACCTCCCACTTCGGTGCACCTGTTGGATGGAAGTCTCCTGACCCCAGGCAGCTCTTCCTTGTCTTACTCTAGTCTGTCCTGTCTGGGCCATCTGTCTGCAAGGCTTCTGACCCAGGCTCTGGGGGAATTTTACAGGGCTGGCATCCCACATGGCCCTGCCCTGGGGTAAAACGGTTCACAGGGTGTGGGCTGTAGCCTGGCAGATTAAGGCTCAGTGAGGTGCCTGTCCCTTGTGGCCTGTAGCCGTCTCCTGTCTCTGACAGCAGACAGCACACTCTTAGGCCAGCTGGCTACTGTCAGAGGGTGCAGTTTCCTCTGGGAATTTTAGTAGAGCTGGCCCCTGGTGCCCTGCGACAAGGGCTAGTTACTAGGGTTTGCCAGCCCCTCCCCCTGCCCGCTTTGTTTGCAGGGTGGCAGAGATTGTGGGGACTGTAGGCTGGGTTTGGTCCAGAGCTCCCGCTGAATTCCTTTTCTGTGGAGTCACTGCGGTCTGGGATGGGGGTGCATAGTTCACAGCCTCCTGGCCTTGGCTGTCACTCTTCAGCTCAGCACAGTAGCGCGGGTAGGGCTGTCCAAGCCCCGGGAGGTGGGGGAGGTCACAGTTCAGGCTGCGGGCCCAGCCAGCTGGGGTCAGCACACCTGGCTCCCCGGGCCTGTGGCCTCCTTGTGACCCCTTTTCACCCTTTTTCTCTAAGGGCTCTTCACACTCTGACATTTAAGGATTTTCCAAATCCATGGCCTTTGAGAGGCAGCTAGGAGATGGGATTGAAGCAGAAAAATTAGGGAAAAGGCTGAAAAATGCAGGGGTGTTGAGAGGCTTGGGACATTCAAACCTAGGAGCACTGTGCAGGATGCTTACACTGTGGGACTGCACCAGGCAGGGCCTGGGTACTCGGCATAATGGAGAACCAGGTGTGGTCCAGCTTACTGGGATGTTGGTCAGCTCATCTTGTCTCTCAGATCCTTGGTTTTCTCCTCAGTAAAATATGCATAAGTCAGGTGTCTTCATTCCCAGCTACTAGGGAGGCTGAGGCAGGAGGCTCATTCAAACCCAGAAGTTCAAGACCACCCTGGGCAATATAGAGTTCCCATCTGAAAGCAAATAAGTAAATGAATAAATAAAAATGTGCATAATAAGTGCACATTTATAAATAAATAAATTGTGCTTTGTGGGCACATGTGTAAACTGCTGCAGTTGTGTCCTCAGAAACACAACTGGGGTGAGGATGACTGTCTTGCGTCCCATGGGGACCTCTGCAGGGTAGTCCAGCTGGAAAGAGAAAGCCTTTCTTCTGTGTGGCTGTGCTGGACAGAACCACATCAAGTAGAAGTCAACGAAGGAGCAGCTTTACAGCTGAGGAATGTCTGCTGGTGGGGCACACCTCAGCCAGGCATGAGCTCGTATCTGTGCAGTAGACCAGAGCTTGGACACTCAGGATGTGGTTCTGGGGATGTGAGAATTGTGTGGGGAGCTGGACCCAGTGGTGATTGGCTCTGAGATGCCGAGGCTCTGTGACTTGGGGCCAGAACCCCTGCTGGGTGAACTTCAGGATGCTGACCTATCTTGTGGATCTCTGTCCTCTTCTAGGGGGTACAGCGGGGCCACCAGTTGCCAGTTCTTCCCAGGGTAGCATAAGCCCTCTGTCTTGTCCAGCAGGGCTTGGTGCTGGTGCCCCCTGGCATGGGTGACCTCACTGTCACCTCCCGGTTCCAACAGCAAGTGCTTTCAGCCCTTGCTCAGTTAGCAAGACAGTGTCTCTGAGAGATACAGTACCTTGCCAAGGTCACACAGCTAGTAAATGGCAGAGCTTGGACTTGGGCCAGGAGGCCTGGGCTTTTTTGTTTGTCCATTTGTTTTTTGAGACAGGGTCTGGTTATGTGTTCTAGGTTGGCTTTGAATTCACTATGTAGCACAAGCTGGCCCTGAACCCATGGAGACCCTCCTGCCTCAGCCTTCTGAGTGCTGGGATGACAAGCGTGAGGCCTAGGTTTTAAAGAGAGAAGAAGAAATGGACAGTGCATAGGCTGAACAACCTCTCAGAGATCTCCTCTGTGGCTGATGACCCCCACTTTTTGGTTCTTCCAGAGAAGCAGCCTGTGTCACCCTCTTTACCCTTTACAGATGGGGTGGCCCAGGCCTGAGCAGGTGAAGTGGGCTGTGTGCCATCATTGTTTCCAGCAGGCTGGGGGAAGCGAGGCATTTGTGGAAAGCAGGAAGGAGGAGGTTGGGAATAGAAAGCCTGTGGCTGTGTGGCCTGGACCAGTGAGGCTGCCATCTGTCCTCTGTCTGGCTTCCTGCTGACTCCAGTGTGGAGGTCAACATGCTCTACCCTGGGCTACCCTCTGGACCTCAGTTTCCCCACCTATAAAATGGGGGTGGTAGTGAAATAGCTCCTCGAGAAGGGACCTTCCAGCTCAGAGAGTCTAGGAATCCTGAGGCTGGCTGGCAGGGTGCCTAGAAAGACTGTCCCTGGAGACCCACTGGGCATGTCGCGGCCAGCACTAATGAGGGCAAAGCAGGAGGGAGGGCAGGGTCAGATTCCTGAAGAACTAATTAGCTTCTCACAGCAGGGGGGAGAGGGATGATGAAGGGAGGAATTTTCTCAGCTACTGACTAAGCTCAAGAGGCTGGCCACAAGCTGACCCATCCACCGGTCTGTCAGTTCATTTGTTCTCACATCCATTTGCTCATTCATTGCTCAGCAAGCCTAAGCTGAGTGCTGACTGGGTCCCTCAGTGAACTGGGGATAGAAAGAGAAACGCCTGTCTACAGTAAGCTTAGTAGGGTCCTGACCCTGACCTCTGTCTCCAGACGGAACCTGGACCCATAGCTATCTCCCCACCCCTACTGCCCAAAGGGACCTTAAGTGCAGGCTGTAGACCAGCACCAGCCTTGCCATCCTCAGCTGTGTGACCTTGGGTTGTTTGCTTACAAGCTGCTGAACCTCAGTTTTCTGCCTCAGAAAACAGAGGCAGGTAATGCTTCATCCCATAAAGTTCTTGTGAGGACAGAATGAAAGAATGCAATGTTCTGCTATAGTCACTGCTGAAATTAGCCCGATTTATTACTTTTCTGGTGTTAAAATATGTGAATTTGTCAATGACTGTTTTAAGTAGAAATGGGAAGAAATTCTGGAGGCGCATAAAGAAACTGACAGTGTAGCAGTTTCCTGACTCTGATGTGTAGGAATCATCAGGGGTGAAGGGACACTTTTCACTGTATAGCTTTTTATGTTTTTATTTTTATAAATAAAATGTGAATATACTGCCTGTTCTAGAAAGAAATATTGCTAGTGGCAATGCTTTATAAAATCAAAGCAGTTTACTATACTACAAGTTAGAAAGTGCAGAGGACCCTAAAAAAGGCGCACAGAAAATGTCCCAGGGGTTCTTTTACATATTCAGCCGTCATCACCGAGGCTCACATTACGACAGGCACCATTCTAATGGCCTGGGGCAGGGCACACTTGGCGTTTTGAAAGGACAGAGGGAAAGCCAGTGTGGCAGAGCCTAGGGAGAGAGGAGAAAGGTGACGGGAGACGGACAAGTCAGGGGCTCACGGGACCTTGGCTTCCAGGGTGAGTCAGGTCTCGTTTGGTGAAGTGCTGTATCAACCACCTCCAGGGGCAACCCAAGTAAAAGGGGTTAATCCTAGAGAGATAATCAGAGAGTGCTGCCAGGGATATAGCTCTGCGGCATAAGCGCTTGCCTGGCAAGCCTGAGGTCATGAGTTTGATTCCTGGTACAAAAAAAAAAAAAAAAAAAAAATCAGAGAATGCTTCACAGAGGTGGTGGCATTTGAATTAGGCTGTGAAGGGTGGGTCAGGTATCTTTATGAGCCGATTCTAGGCACCAGAAAAGATCAAATTCCAGAGGAAAAGGTCATGTGTAGGAGGGTACGATGGCCAGCTGTGTGTCTGCACTGCCCTGTGGCTCTGCATTCCTGCTTGCTAACTGGGCCTCTGTCCCTCCCTGCAGCCTTGGGCCGGAGCACCAGCCTCACTGAGAAGGACCTGAAGGAGGCCAAGGCACGGAGCCAGCAGATCGCAGCCCAGCTGACCACCCCTCCCAGCTCCAGCTCCCGGGGCGTCCAGCTCTTCAACCGTCGCCGGCAGAGGGTGAACGAGTTCACCTGGGAGAGCCACGGTCAGAGGGGGCCGAAGCCCAGCCAGGAGTCCCTCAGGGTGCTCCCTGCAAGCCCGCCAAGCCATGCTCCAGGGCTCTGCCTGAGTGCCCTTGCACCATCCAAGCTAGGCCCTCCAAGGCACTCCAACCCCCAGAGCCCCAGCCGAGGGGTCCCTGGCCGCAGCATGGAGGGGTACTCAGAGGAGGCCAGCTTGCTGCGGCACCTGGAGGGGGCCAGTGAGGAGGAAGAGGTGCCTCTGGTGGTATATTTAAAAGAGAACGCAGCCCTGCTGACAGCCAATGGGCTCCACCTGTCCCAGAACCGGGAGGCCCAGGAATCCCCGCCAACCCCTCCTTCAGCTGAGGTCCACAGTCCAGCTGCAGATGTCAACCAGAACCAGTCCTCACCTGGAGCCACGCTCACCACATCAGCCTCTAACAGCAACTGCAACCCACCGGCCACAGACATCAACCAGAACCCCCCGATAACAGTCATCCCGCAGAGCCCGGCACTTGCCGGGGTCCAGCAGAATTCTCCTGTGGCACAGCACACGACAAATGGCACAACACCCGAGCCCAGACCCAGCACCCTGTGTGCTGATGGGCCGCCCCCGGCGCCGGTGGAGGAGGTGATGTCTAGCGTACTCCTAATTGATAAGGTATCCACTCCACCTGCTACCACCAGCACCTTCTGCAGAGAAGCTACCCCCATCCCCAGCTCCGGGCCTCCAGGTACAGATTTCATGTCCAGCTCTGTGCCCCTCGATGTGCAGCCCAGCACTCTAGTGATGTCAGCAGAGCCCGAGATGTCTGGGCGGGCACCTGCCACCACGCCCACCAAGGTATACAGTGAGGTCCACCTCACACTGGCCAAGCCTCTGTCAGTGGTCAACAGGACGGCCAGGCCTTTTGGGATCCAGGCGGCAGGGGGCACTAGCCAGATGGAGCGGAGTCCCATGGTGGAGAGGCGACACCTGGGGCAGAAAGCCCCGGCTCCCCAGGCCCCCACCATGGTAGACAGGAGTCCCCGGCCTCAGAGACATATCATGTCCCACAGCCCCATGGTGGAAAGGAGGCTGGTGGGGCAGCGAAGCCCAGCCCTGGAGAGACGGCCCTTGGGGAACTTCACCCCACCTCCCACCTATGCGGAGACCTTGTCCACGGCGCCCCCGGCTGCCCGAGTTCGGTCCCCCCCTTCTTATTCTGCCCTGTACCCCAGCTCTGACACCAAGCCTTGTCATCTGAAGGGACATGCGGTTCCCACCAGCAAGACAGGCATTTTGGAGGAGTCCATGGCCCGCCGGGGCAGCCGGAAACCCATGTTCACCTTTGTGGAGAAGCCCAAGGTGACCCCGAACCCAGACCTGCTGGATCTGGTGCAGACGGCCGACGAGAAGCGGAGGCAGAGGGACCAGGGGGACGCGGGCGCGGAGGAGGAGCCCTTCGCGCTCGGCGCCGAGGCCTCCAACTTCCAGCCGGAGCCCGGCCCTCGGGGTCGGGGCAGCCCCGCGGCCGCCGAGGACGCCGTGCCCGAGTGGGCCTCCTGCCTCAAGTCGCCTCGCATCCAGGCCAAGCCGAAGCCCAAACCCAACCAGAACCTCTCGGAGGCCTCCGGGAAGGGCGCAGAGCTCTACGCGCGCCGCCAGTCGCGGATGGAGAAGTACGTCATCGAGTCCGCGGGCCCCGCCGAGCTGGCGCGCTGCCCGTCGCCCACCATGTCCCTGCCCTCGTCCTGGAAGTACTCCACCAGCGCGCCCGGCGCCCTCCGCGTGGCCTCGCTCAGCCCCGCGCGCACGCCGCCCGCCTCGCTCTACCACGGC